CAGGGAAACTACAATAATATAAGTTTTACAGTAAAATCAAAAAATATTATATGCTCATGACTTACATCTTATGTGAGGATGGTTACATTGATGTTGAAGAAGAAATGATGAGACATTGGCGAAGATGAAACTTGATATACAATTCTGAATGATTAAAAAATTTTTCATAAAATATAATTTCTGTCAGACCGTTATTCACATCCTGTGTGCAGGATTGAAATGAACGAGTCTGAGGTTAGAACTTTGAGAAATGACAGAGTGACTTCTGACAAGTGATAGAGAGCTTAAAATTTCACTAGCAGTACCAAGTGTACTCTGGGGGTGCGATAGGGAAAGTAACATCAAATGTGAATATGTCAAAATGTGTTCCCTTGTATACTATGGTTGACGTGTTTTTTTATTTTTCCTACAAATCATTGAATCCAAAAATTATTCAGGGTGGCTCGTTTCAAATAGAATGCACTGTATAATATATTACCAGTCAAACAATCAGGTTTCAGAAGTGGGTATAACTGTGCCACAGAGTTATTGGAAATACTTATTGATATAAATAAAGCTATATATTCATATAAATCGACGACCTCAGTTCTCTTAGACTATTCAGAAGCGTTCGATACAATTAACCATGAAATTTTGTTAGGTATTTTGAAATATTTTGGTTTCAGAAGTTCAGCTGACATATCTGACATATCTTCGAAATGAGGTTATGTCAAATATAAACGGCAGACTACTCACACATCGTTTCAGGGGTTTAACTAAAACGAATGTACTTTCTTTGAAGAGCAAGCGTGTAGTCTGCAGTGATTCAAAACTAATATGAATCCCCATTTTCACACAGAGTCTTAAGGATTTCATTGGAGTGCTTGTGTCCACATACACAAAACTTGTAACCATTTACACAATAATATTGTGACCGGCTTTCCTGAGGTTCCCTTTCAACTTCCCTAAAGAACAGCATTGTCGCCACATTTCTTGACAGTGAGATTTGAGCACTGTGTTATTAACTTTTTTGAATCTAGGATTTTGGATTGCTTCAGATGCACAATATGCAGTTAGTTCAGTGATCAAAAAAACGATTTGAAATTTTGCTGTGGTTTGAAACAGTATTTGAGAAAACTAGATGATACCAGAGCTCAAACGTGTTGTATTTATGTTCCTATATCATATAATGTTGTTTCAATCTGTCATATATCTCGTTAGATATACTTGACTGGTAATGGATGCAGTTTTTGAACTTGTCTGCCCTTGAAGATATCGCTGACTGAAAAAGGGGGAGTATATCTCATGATGAAATCGACAGAAGACTGAAATCGTGAATAAAACTTGACAAACGAGACTCCGAAAAGTTCTTAAGTATATAACGGGTATAATGACCCTTCCAGAGGCACTAGATGTAAAAAGTATTATCAATACAGTCTCTCTAATATAGAAAATCTAATTTTGAAGAAGGCGGACCACTCAGATAAACTCTCATTTTTCCTGATGAATCTCAAGCTGGGTGGTATCTGAAAATGATACTTGGAAGTAGAAGTGAACTACGAAATTTCATTACTCTATTTGAAAGCGTTGGAGTGAGTTGGAGCTTTTTTAACACTCTCTACAATGGGATATCTTCAAGAGAAAAATATTAACAAACAATCAGTGGTTATAAGTATCATGAAGTTAAACTTGACCTTCATTGCAGGATGTTACTTTTATGGTCATTCGTTCAAAATTTCGATTTCTATAAGAGCCATGTTCACTTTAACCAACAAAAAATGATTGATTGATTATAATTCATAATCATGTTTTACTGAATAACAATCACTCTAGAAGTAATTTATAAACCTACCTTTCCTTTCTCTTTCGCAACTGGCCACATCTTTGCTCGCATAAAGTTTCTTCAATAAATCTCTGATTTCTTTCAAAATGACGTGTTCAGGCATCTGATGCATATTCTGAGAATGACCCAAATTATTTTTAACGCCAACCCCTCCTACTGAATGCTCAGTAAATTCCTTTCCAACTCCTACAGGCGCTCCGAATAAAATGTCATCTCTCCTTGGAAGAAATGAACATTCAGGCAAGTAGGCTGTCTTTTCGTGTTCATCCGTGTAATCAAAATCATCTACCAATAAACTGGGTTCTTCCCGTACTCTTTTATCATTCAAAATAGCGTCGCAAACGGCGTCTAGCATAATACGTGATTCCAGATCAACCTTGACCCGTTCCTCTAGATGATTTATATATTTAATGTCATCCTCGACTTCAATCGGATCTGGTAGAGAAGATGTGGTGATTCTATCAAAACTATCAATCCGAGAAGGTCGCAAATCGAATGTTTTTCCTGACACAGGACTTAAAAAGTCTTCCTTTAGGTGTTTGGTATAATATTTGTCAAGAATATTGGATTTGGTGTTTTGGATCCAAGGGTACTTCGAAGGAAACCCAAGCTTTGAAATGGCCTTGTCTCCACTCAAAAATCTATTCCAGGGCTTGAGATCTTTTAAATAATTGTTACTGTTGTTCAAAAGCCACGTATTTTCAACCTCGCGCGATTCTTTTGGGATTTTTTTAGTCATTGAGGGAAGCTTCCTATCGACACAGTCGTTACATGGCAAAATCTTTTTTGTAGAATCAGCCAATTTTTCCGATACGTCTGGGTATACCTCATCGATAACGTTTTCCTTCTGCTTTATCGTTTGGGCGATCTCTTTGTTGCTGCTGTTGGAGCAACAACAGCAGCAGCAATGGTGGCAACAGTAAAGGTGGTAATGTTTTTTTTTTCGCGTTCTAGCTTCTGCGTTACAAGAAAATGTTCTGTAAGTTTGCGACATGTCATTTTCGACGTCTTTTTCGGAAGTTTGCAGCTGAGCATCTATTTTTTTCGGAAATGGTTTGTCGTTCCCCTCCCAAAGAGGTTTTTCGAACTGGAAGTCCCGGAAGTGTATAGGAGGGATGAGATTATCGCTACAATTATATTTTTTGTTTTCATCTGGGCAGATTGGGCAGCAATTCGAACAATTTGATTGTCTGAAAGAAAACATTAATTGATTTGAAATAATAAATCATCAGATGAATACTATTTATAACCCAGTCAACAAACTAATTAGTCCCGTCATGTAAGCAAAAAAAATCAACTACGGAATGAGGTTGTCTTAAAAACCTTATAAAATTTCTTGCAGAGCATAAAATTTCCAACAAATTTTGTTTTCATACGCCAGACCGTTTTTGAGATAGAGGGCGGAGAACCCACACCATTCAGACATTTTCCTCATTTAAAGGTGGCTGGCAATGGTGGATTTCATTAATTCAAACTTCTATTGTCTAATATGATATATAATGATTTGAAACCCCCGAAAAAACAAATAAAATTGAAAATTAAAATGAATAGCTGAAAATAACAATTATTATATGAAAACACTGAAATGAAAATACAATGAGATGAAAATGAAGCAAAAAATTGTGGATCATTTCAGCTTGAGACCATTTGATGTTATCTTGATGAGTCCAAACATGTTCTGCTATTCCAGATCTGCTGGTTTCTCTTCGCTGTGGATGTTTCTTGTGCTCGGCAATACGGACTTTCAGTGGCTCTCAGTTTCAAGGATTTTCAACACTCATAGGGTATCCAGTAAATGCAATTCTTGGAATCGAGATCCGCGTTTGGTGATCTGGTTTTCGTGAGGCTGCAACGGATGTTAACAGATCTGAAGCAGGTTCTGATGTTGTACTCGGATCCAATTCTTCTTATTCTTTCCGACAATCCTCTGATGTAAAAGAAATCATCGACTTCATGTTGATGATGGATACTACCACGCACTGATGAGTGGCCAAATAGCCCGAAACCGGTCTACAAGTATGTTCCAATAATTGGAAATCGTTTTTTCGACAGTTATATCGCCAGCAGCATATGCAGAAATGTATTTTGTGACAAATTCTGCACTGACACCTGTCGGATACAATCTAACAATTTTTGTAATAAATATTAGCATCACTGGCATAAATATTAGCAACCGAGATAACACGAAAAACTGATTTTTGTGATATTTGACCTGAAATAACTTCCGGCGAAAAAACGAGATTTCAATAGACTTTTAAGAACACTTCGAGAACACCAAAATGAAGGTTTATACAAATATACAAGATATTTTGAGGTAATTTTCATCATCATACTAGCGAATCACCCAGGCTCCGTACGGGGGCAATGCTGATACTAAATATACATACAAACGCGTGCGATCGCAAAGCGGGCCCTTCGTCGCGCTATTTATAGGCAGGCGCCGCAGGACCACCAGCCGATATCGCCGCAACCACTATATCCCTACCTTTTTAATCTGTGATATCTTCAAAAATATTCTTTCAAATCATATGCATATTCTGTGAAAGGCTATATTGATCTACATTTAATGTACAATGAATTTAAGGTACTCAATTGGATGAGGATTAATGCTGTATTGCTTAAAATCGCTTCGTAAAAAAGTAAACGACGAAAAATAATTATTGTGGGTAATCCTTGAGAGATAGACATATACCATCGCGGACTTTTTTGTAGACATTTTTGAGGTGTACAGTACTGTAGTACATTTGTTGATTTGCAGCTAGCGTTTGCAATGTAAGCGCAGAAAAATCTTTTTATTTACGACATCACATTAGAAACCTCTAAAATTATCATTATTTCTCGACTATATAATGCATGTTATATACATATAAACCTTCCTCTTGAATCACTCTTTTCACTTGTTTCATACTATATAGTGATGCTCATTAAGTTTTTGAGTGAAAAATACTTGATCATCAAGCACAAAGTTAATGACAAAAAACACTATGCTTTTTCCGCTGCTGAAAACCAAGTGAAATAAAACAACTAGAACGTCAATTGTTAAACAATCTACATATTCGATGGCTTATAGAAATTATCAGTAAAGATAGAGCCAATACATTCAAAAGTGGGGGATGCATAGGAGACTTTTACGTCCCCTATATATTGGATTAACGTTTCTATTCAAATATGTAATGAACCTGAAAAGAAACAAAATACAATCAATGAAATAACCGTATTAAGAAAGAAAAAACATATTCTGCAATTATGTCTATTTACTGTTGTTAAATGTCAATGTATGTTTGTTCATTCGTAATTTGAATTATTTACTTATGTTCATGAAATGAAGTCAATATGTTTCAAAATCATTCAAATGGTCCGAAGATTCCGGGTTTATAAAGCTTGTCGCTCACTTGTCCGACGCAGCACAGCACGGCGCTGTCCGTCGTCTCATGGCGACATGTAGTAGCATCACCCTCTTGTCCAGCTACAACCAGCATACTGAAGGCGCTGTTTGTTCGATTTCAAGTGAATTTCACTTGACATCGAGCTGTGACAGAAACATATCTATCACTAGCAGTTCTGACGAAGAAGTCGTCATTATGGTGGCGGCATTATTGAATGTAGAAGAAAATAGTCACATAAAAAAATGTTGTGGGTCCATCCCATTAATCAAAAGAGGACAAATCTGGGAGCGTTTCATCACCTTTTCAACGATCTGAAAGAAAACGAGAAGAAATTTTCCAGTATTTTCAAATGACTCCAGGCAAATTTTCAGAACTTCTGGATATTCTAGAGCCTGGCTTAACAAACAACTCAATTTTTTCGAGTTTTCCTCTAAAAAGATTCGATATATTTTTTCAGCAGCTTTCGTTTGACACCTCGATGGCGTTTCTAGCGTTCGTGATTCAGATTTCATTGCAGTCTTAAGGATAAAAATATTCCGAAAACATCACACTTTCAAATGCATTTTTCACCTGGAACACTTGAGATAATCGTCTTTCGACATGAGACTTTTCTTCTCAGAGCGCGGACTGTTAGATAAAACCGAAGAAAAATCGTCGAGAACTTGAAAATTTTCCGCGAATTGCGAGAAATATGCGAATCAGTTTCGCGATCCAAGGATGAACTTAAAAAATTGAATTCCGTAATTCTTGTCCTCTGACTATTACCTCGTCAGAGTTATTGTAGGGAAACGTTTTCAATTCCAGAGTTACACTAGGGACAAACAACCGCGAGCGCAACTCCTAGATTATACAAAAATGTACAACTGTGAGTGCATTATTGGCTCTTCTGGGCGACAAGTAAATAGAGAAAATGAAATTCCACAAAGGACAAGAATGTCCTCAAATCGCGATAAAATACCGCGTTTTAGTTATTCTGTATTGAAGCGATTTAGGAAATTAAATACGCCGAATATGAGAAAAATGAAATTGGAAATTTTGCCAATGTGAACGACACAGCATAGATTACTGGACCGTCTAAATTCACAAAGAGAACGTCTGGAGACGTTACAACAATTGAATGGAAAACTTCTACGAGAAGAGGTGAACTCCAGAACTTACAACGAACCGCGAGTGGCCAATATCGGTCACAGCATCGAGACAATGCTCAAACATTTCATTAGTTCGAACTTCCATTGTATAATCTAATATATGAAAATTGATGTTTGTTGGTTGGTTGGTTGGTTGGTTGGTTGGTTGGTAAGTGATAAACTTCTACATCGCTCAACCGATCGTGATGAAACTTGACATGTATATTTAATTTTTCATAGAGAAGGTTTTTAGGCTATCAATTTTTCTGTAACTCGCCACTAGATGGCGGTGTAGAACAATTTTTCCCAAGTTCGTTGATTCTGATTCTGTCAAAATATTGGAACAGCAGCGATACTGCAACATAGTACTAGTATGATATAAATTGAATTGGAATCCCTGAAATTTTCTTTAGAAAATTTAAAATATTAGCTGAAAAATAACAATTATATCAAGCAAACAAACTGAAATTACAATGAAATAAAATATAAGCAATAATTTAAAAATTGAACTATTAACACGAAATGAACGTTAAAAAATTATTAACAAGAAATAAAAATAAAATATTAAAATATTCCAAACCAAGTTACTTTACTGTTTCTCTTTGTGGATGATTTCAGCTTGAGACTACATGAAATTTTGTTGATGAGTCCAAACATGCTCTGCTATTCCTGATTTCTCCTCACTGAGTGTTCCTTGTGCTCGGCAATGAGAACTTTCAATGGCCTTTTAGTTTTACCGATGTATGATTCTCCGCAATTCTTGGAATCGCAGTCTGCTTTTGGTGGCCTGGTTTTCGTGAGGCTGCTACAGATAGTGTTCCCAGATCTGTATATTCCACCATCACTTTGGAGTAACCATTCCAATGAAGGTCATTTTTGATGATGCCTAGTTCCTTTTCGAGACCTTTCTTTGTAATACAGAGCCCAAAAGTATGGTCTACTAGAGTCTTGATGTTTCCTCTCTTAGTCGATTGATGGTGGTTGGATTCCTGGATCAGATACTGTCTCGTGTGAGTGGGTTTATGGTATACAGATGTTTCCCATTTAGTATCGGTTCTCTTCACCAACACGTCTAAGAATGACAATTCGTTGTGGACTTTCTTCTCCAATGTGAAAGTGATGGAAGGACTTACGTTGTTGATGTGATTCAGGAAGCTGTCTATTTCTGCATTTCCAAGGTTCCATATTATCATTATATGAAATTACTCACCTGTAAACCAATGCGCTTTCTGTTTTCTTGTGCCTTTCCGCACAATCAAAATCAGCACAAGAATGCGCCATATTAATGTTCAAATATATCTCTAAAACACTTTTAAAACACACACAAACTTAACTCGATGAAAAAAAGAATTGTTCCTACGTGAGCTGTCAGCTGAGAAAAAGTTGAAACTCTATGTTGCAAAAACAAGCATAATGGATCCGATATGATATACGAAGCACAATTGAAAACATTGGAAATATGTGAAACATTAATGGAAAGCTATCTTTTCTTAAAATCAACTCTTGATGACATATTGAATTCAAAAACATTCGCTAGATTGAAAATATTTCACAGTTCAATTATCACTCCTAATGACCTAATGAACTCACTTCAGGAAATTTCTCAATCACTCCATAAAAACAATCTACCTTTACTCACAATGCTCTCACATGTTGCTCAATATATCGAAATCATCGAACTTGAAGCATATCAAGTGGACAAAAGAATTATTTTCATATTAAAAATTCCAATGGTCGAACCAGAAATATACACTCTGTATCGACTTTTACCAATACAATACCAATTTCAGATAACCGAACGGGACTTCATCACATATTATTAAATGTTCAAGAATATATTGCGAGAGATGACGAATCCTTGTTGTACATTTCACTTCAAAATTTAGAAAACTGTAAAACTCTGAATCATGGCGTAAGAATCTATTCCGATCCACTACCCTACCCGATTGATAGCGAAGCTATATGCGAAGCGCAACTATTGAGAAGATTGACCGTCCTCCCGAAAACTTGCCAGTCCTCACTGATCTACGCTACGGAATACAACGTCCAGGAACTGAGTCTAAATTTGTGGCTCATAACAATATCTGAAGTCCTACCAATCACCATTAACTGCGAAAATATGGAACCAGTTACACGAGTGATCAAAACCAATTCCCTGCTAAATCTCCAACCCGGATGCAGCTCATTCGTTGGAAGCACTAGAATTCACTCCAAATACGTCGATAGATATAAGAACGTCACATATAAAAACCATGCCGTTCGAATACCATACAGCTGTTGCGATCATCTTCCTGAAAAACGACATCTTCCAGAACTGAAACCGCTGAACTCAACAAAATCAACGTTGACGAGTTGAACATCGCTCAACATAAATTAAACCAATATTCCGAAGAATTGGATAAACTTATCAATGAGCCGTTTGTGAACAAGCACATATATTATGGTTCACATATTCTGTGTAAAATCTGTTAAATCTGTTTTTTCGTTAACCAGCCGTCGCACCCCTAAGAACAACAACCCTCAGAAGACTAAACTTGTGTGAGCTAAGGATTAACGAGGTCTTACCCTTTAACGTGTGATTCCTAACACGGGTTGGACGATAGCAAGTGAAGATCGATCGTTCAGACTAGGGCTTGAACCAACGATCAACACGGCAATCAATTCGAGTGAGTGAACAAAGCACCCACGCCAAACCGGTTGGCTACCAACCGGTACTATAACATTGATCATTGTATTAATCATACTTTACATCTTTTGCAAATGTAGATGAAAAGGACCTATACGAATCGGTATAACATCCACTTCGAATCAACCACCCCCGGATCATCCAAGATCAGACAGACAACCATCCCGTATCTTATCGAGATTCATCCCCAGGAGAAGACCAAGGATCAACCTCTAGGAACCTATAGAAGAGGAAATCCAACTCAACACCAGTTTCCACAAGGAAAATATTTTGTGAAAAGTTGCAGCAAAAAGCAACAACTTTTTGTATAAAAGTGGAGTTGTTATATGCGAATTAGCGTCTCACACGTATTAAATTACAAGCGATAACAGCTTCCTGCTAAAAGTGCTAATTGTGCAGTATCAGCAAGATGAACACTTGTGTTCCAGACAAAGCAATTGCTGACACTGTTCAAATATTGTTTTTCATACCAAACATATAAATAGACCCTGCGAGGTCAGAAAGATGTTCATTAACGATTTATTCATTCTCAAGTATAGTTCATATCAATTACTCATTCAGTTAATGTTCCAAGTTTTTCACATCATACTCAAATATTTTTATAAAGTGTTCATAAAGAAATAAACCAATTTTTAAAAAGTGAATTGTGAAAAACAAGATATAACATCCATGTCTTGTTGATGTTCAAGCTCTCTTACGGTTGAAATTACTTTTTTGTTTATATGTATTTCTAAGTCCGGCCGTACACGGACCACATATTTGCAGTTGAGGCAACCACAACATTGTGGCCACGTTGACTGCACTTCGCGGTTGACCCAACCACATTTTTGTGGTCGACTTGCGGTCATATAAACCGCACTTGCAGCTGAGGCAACTGACATCAAAAATTGAATGCTGTAAGACCAATATGAGAAAAAGTACACGACGGTGTATACAAGTTTGTGGTTAGTGTACGGCGGATGCCGCGATGACATCTCGGCGGAGATCATCAGCAAGTTGACTGCAGACTTCGTTTTGACTTTTGTGCTAAACGCCCGTGTACGTGTAGTACAGTATTTCTTATAGGCGGCTTGAGTTCGCTGGAACGTGACTGCAACTGTGTGGTCGATCCGACCGCAAAATGTGGCTCGTGTACGGGCGCTCCAAGGCCTTTGAACTCGTATAATACCATAGCGGCAACAGCTAAATCGGTAGTTGTAAAACATATTCTCTATAAACCAATTTTTAAAAAGTGAATTGTGAAAAACAAGATATAACATCCATGTCTTGTTGATGTTCAAGCTCTCTTACGGTTGAAATTACTTTTTTGTTTATATGTATTTCTAAGTCCGGCCGTACACGGACCACATATTTGCAGTTGAGGCAACCACAACATTGTGGCCACGTTGACTGCACTTCGCGGTTGACCCAACCACATTTTTGTGGTCGACTTGCGGTCATATAAACCGCACTTGCAGCTGAGGCAACTGACATCAAAAATTGAATGCTGTAAGACCAATATGAGAAAAAGTACACGACGGTGTGTACAAGTTTGTGGTTAGTGTACGGCGGATGCCGCGATGACATCTCGGCGGAGATCAGCAGCAAGTTGACTGCAAACTCCCGTTTTGACTTTTGTGCTAAACGCCCGTGTACGTGTAGTACAGTATTTCTTATAGGCGGCTTGAGTTCGCTGGAACGCGACTGCAATTGTGTGGTCGATCCGACCGCAAAATGTGGCTCGTGTACGGGCGCTCTAAGGCCTTTAAACTCGTATAATACCAAAGCGGCAACAGATAAATCGGCAGTTGTAAAACATATTCTCTCAGAAAGCAGCCAAGGCAGTGCCTTCGAACGCAGGCAAGTTCTTGATAAAACCGGAGGATGATATTCAGAGACTATTCAGACACTTCAGGCCATAAAAATACATTAACATGAGAATACTTTTAACCGCGAAGAAAGGAGCTTGAACATCAACAAGACATGGATGTCGGTATTTTATAACACAAAAATTCTCCCCATGATTGGAGAAGAGTCGGATCAATCAGGTACGAGAGCAGTGAGCCATCCGACACCTAGTTACATTACGAATACAAACGCACCAGAACCATTTTCAGTTTGCGCATCGTAGCAACGTAGATCACTTCGACCGTTGCCGCATCGCCTTCGATAATGTCTGCCGCAGTAGCTGACAAAACGTCAGCCTACAGACCACGGATAATAAACACGGAAACATCGCACATATTGTTAGACACCGGCCATGAAATCTGACACGCCATGATTATCCAAATGTTTGAACATTCTCATCACAAAGAAAGAAAAATTGCAAAGAAAAATTGCACTTGAACAAGGACCTTGGATTATGTCATTATCAATATCTTGGTGAATTTGATTCTGCTTCCTATATAAAAAGAAGTGTTTCTGATTTCCGAATATTTCAGTTGAACTATTCTCAATATCATTCTCATAGTTTTCTTTTTCATACCCAACTTTTATTCATATTCATTTTATATGTATGCTTATTATATGTATTAAATCATATAAATATGTGTAACACAGATTGGCAAGATAACGTCTCCTTATATAGAGACATTGACTGGTATTACATTTATGAGAATGGAAATTAAATCAATCTGTTGACTGTATCTACACTGCAAATGCCTTCGTTAAATGCGACTGGACATGATTTTGGTGACTGTTTTAGATTCGGACTTCCATTGCCTAATAAATTTTAAATTAGGGTAAAAAAATTAAAAATCAATGAAGCTTTAAGATTATTAAAAGTAATAAAAATAACAGGATGGAAATATTTGAATGACTCAGTTGAAAACGAAATAATATCGCAAATGAAAACATAAAGAGAAAAATGGTTGAATAAAATGAAAGATTAGTATGATGAATTAGTTGAAAAATAAGTGAAATGTTAATGATATACAAACAATGAACATAGAAAGATAAAAAATAATTCAAAATGAGATAATGAAAATAAACTATTTCACGACACTTCGATAATTAACGGGTGATAACCATAATTTCATAAAATTACTCTGGAAAATATCTCCCAGCAAGCAGCTGGGAGAATTGAATATGTCTGATGGTTGCCTAACCAAAATATTCATTTTTGGTTTGAATAAATATCATTCGTAGTAATTGTTTTCACTATCGTGAATAGATTTATTAGTCGTCATAGTGCCCATCAGAGTATTTCGGTCCAGTTATTTTTAGTATTTTCAATATTTAATTAATTTCTTATATGATTTTTCCTTCCTACAGATTTCAAATCTATCAACAACCTTTCAGATGATGGCAGTCCAAACCTGTAACATTCATCTACTTCCGACAGACTTTTGTACAAGTTCCCCCGTAGAGAAAATTCTTGTAGTTGCTTCTCGTTCATCTACCAACTGAAATGAATCGAGTGATCTCCTACAAACCGATTTTAGAGTAGGTATCACTCTTCTCAGATCTAACCAAGACGACATTGTCGACATTACAGTTCGTAACTTGACTGTCTCAAAACTAAATTAGCAATCGAATCAGTCTAATGACTGTATCGGAAAGAGATAAATGCACTAAGTGAAGAAATATTTCTTATAAATTGAAATGAGTATATTTTATGTGAATTCATGATAATTGTTTTCTTTTCTATACCCAATGACTGCTATACTGCAACACTATAATACTATATGTTAAGATCATATTACCTGGAAGACTCAGAAGATTCAGTAGGAGTTTTTCTCTCATCTTGGCATTCTTGGCAGCTGCAAGTCGAGCTATCTTCCAATTTCCGCCTAGTCTGAATCGCATCACTTTTATGAAATCTCTTTTTGCCTTTTCTGGAAAAATTCCTTTGCACTTCCAAGCAAGAAATGGAATCTCCGCTCTTCTCCAATACTCCGCAGGTGTAAGTCTCTCGTAGAATAACGGTGTTCGAGGGGGTGGAATAGAGATTTTGCAGACTTGGAGTTACCTTTTTGGGTCGTTTTTTGAAGCAGAGACAGTTGCACAAGTTTTTGAACGGTTTTTTCTCCACTTTCTCTTCTTTCTCTAATTTTTTCTCCATTGAAGTTCTGAAATACAAACCCTTTGTTCAACATTGGCAAATCAACTGTCACCCTTGATGAATGATTCTTTCGAATAATCGTGAACAAACAAAGAGAAAAATTGCTTACAACATGAAACGTTGTGTTCTGAGATAATTTATAGTAATGAATTAACATACCTTATTCGATCATTTATTTTGCTTTCGCTTTTCTTCACCCAATTCCATCCCCACCATCTGCAAAATTGGAGTTCCCATTCGTCTTCATTTCCTGGCGGTGGCGGTGGCTTACATCTTCGAAAAAAGTTTTGGTCTGTCTGATATTCATTCAGCTTCTGCGGACTGTCTCGCCAAGATGCATCCATATCTAAATATATCAGATCATCATTTGGGTATCTCCTACTTTATGTTAGGAATGAAAACTGAAAATTTCGAGACCAATTTCAAAGGAAATAACGACGATGGGAATGTCAATGACAAGAGCAATTTTTGGTCTGGGGTGTGAGTTTGAAAGACATATGTCAAATTAATTAGGAATTGAACCAGTAGCGCTCTCGGTTGGTGTTTGATATGATCAGCGGTTGACTGTAAAACTGACAGCAATTTGTAAAGTAGCTGTATTTCTGGGTACATTTGCAGGTTTAATGATGATAAATGATAACTATTATGAGAAACGTATTATCAAATATCACTAATTATATCAGAAATACAATCACTTCAAAAGTTGCTGTCAACTTTACGTCAACTAGTGATGATATCAAACTCTAATCGAGAACACATTATAATTATATTAAACACGTGTTGCGTTTCTGTAAAATTGTTCAGTGAAAATCTCACAATGAAATGTTTCTCGAATATGATTTGGACGGTAGCCTGGTGGGTTGACGTTGGTGGTGTGCTTTACTCATTCAATCGGCCACTGTGCGAACCGCTGTGGTTCGAACCGCACGATCGCCGGAACTCAATATTCAACATCATCAATAATCATTGTAAAAATAGATTTATTCTCAATTGCAGCAAAGTTTCAAATTAAACAGTGTAAACTCACGTTAACCAAAAGACGAAAAGTAGAAAAAAAAATGATAAAGATATAGGTGTTAACATTCTAGAAACTTATGAGAGTAAAATATTTCTCGCATCCGATAAGACAGTTGGCAGGGATATGAAGATCAAGATCTTCAGATTATGTGGTTCTGCAGGTTTTTTCGGATTTTCCTGTAGCTGAAAAGGAAAATGCGCCACTGGAATCAATGAAGTCACCCCGGAGCGCCAATTAATTATTATGTTGTTTTATAATTTTATGATTTGTATTTTGGAAGTGTTGTTATAGTCAATTACATTTAGTGTTACGCTAGTTTCTTATTTATTATTCAATTTTCAGAATTGTGGACTATACGAGTATATTGAATAATATAGGATCGATACGAAACATGTCATGCAGTGTCGAAATTCATTCACTCACAATTCAAACAAAATCCAACTTGGGCTTTTCAGCTGGAAACCCGGCAAGACTCTGTCTACAAGACTGTGTCTGATGACGGCGAAAGTCATCTTCTCGAGTAAAACTTCTATCACACCCAGTAGATGATAATTCTGCCCATAAATTGAACATTATGAACTGAATTTCTAACTGGTGATTTCTCTCTTATATAAGGCGAGTATGGCGAGGAAACAGATCCGACAAACATTTGAGGGTGATAGTCAAGGTTTAGATTGAGTCAGGGATTTGACCTTGAATGCCCTTGATGATAATCGAAGTTGAATGAACAGTATGAATACCTTGAATGACCTTCAACATGGATTATTTAGGTCATATGACGCAGTTCAAGATCAAAGCTAAAATAATCTGAAAGTTGCATAGTCAAGGTCATGCGAAGTGCTCCAAGGTCGTTTCGAAGCCAAGTGATACCGAGGGAATCGGTATGAATCAATTACTTATAACATCCAGTGAATTACAGGCGAAAGATTCAATCAAATGGTTTGCAATCACATTCAAAAACCTCAATGAATGATAAACGGAGATTGCTGTAGTTGAATTGTTCATACGTTTGTTCATACATCGGAGGTTTTATGAAACATAAGATCGAATTCAAACTGAAGATGATTACAAAGTTTTACTTTCAATAAGCACGATACGAATCTGTGAAATGGATTGTGTGAATAAAACAAATTATTATGACATGAATATTTTTTTTTGCGAGGAGCCATAACGAATCATATGAAATCAGAATTAGACTCTATCAGCAAAAAAAACGACCATTTACTCCACAATACCATAGTATAAAAATAATAAGATAGTAGAACAGCCCTACGAGGATATCATTTGATGGCGATATCAAAACGGCATCCACCTCCGATGTATGAACAAACGCGTTTCAACACTTTCTAAACAATTTCAATTCAACTACAGCAATCTCCGTTTATCATTCATTGAGGTTTTTTGAATGTGATTGCAAACCATTTGACTGAATCTCTTGCCTGTAATTCACTGGATGTTATAAGTAATTGATTCATACCGATTCCCATCACTTGACCTTGAAACGACCTTGGAGCACGTCGCATGACCTTGACTATACAAATTTCAGATAGTTATAACTTTGATCTTGAACTGCGTCATATGACCTACATAATCCATGTTGAAGGTCATTCAAGGTCATACTGTTCATTCAACTTCGATTATCATCAAGGGCATTCAGGGTCAAATCCCTGACTCAACCTAAAGCTTTACTATTACCCTCAAGTGTTATCGCATCTGTCTGTTTCCTCACCATACTCACCTCATATAAGAGGGAAATCACCAGTTAGAAATTCAGTTTCGAATGTTCAATCTATAGGCAGAATTATCATGTACTGGGTGTGATAGAAGTTTTACTCGGGGAGATGATTTTCGCCGTCATCAGACACAGTCTTGTAAGCCTAATAATGTCATAATCCACAATTCTGAAAATTGTTCCAATAATTTCGGCACTTCTCGTTCCCCACAACGGATTCAATATCACCTGGAGCATAGCGCAACACCGGAATCTCGTCAATACCGTAAGAGTGTCGTAGATGGTAATATAGAACTAACTCTTTGGGCCGCCTTATGCCGATGGATATAGGCCGAGACCGCCTTATGTCGATGGATATAGGCCGAGACCGCATATGCTGGACATGCTAATAGCAAGTGCATTAGGGTCTCGGGCACCTCGCGGCAGGCCCTGCACCTTGTGTCAGGAACCTCTATACCCATCACGCGACTGCGGTAGACTAAGGTGTTGAAGACACCATCCTGACAAGCCATGATGGACCCCTCAGTTTCCGACTTCAGCCCACTCGACCTGAGAAAAGCAAAAGTCAGGAGCTTTGATAAGCCAAGGTCTCCAATGTTATTGAAGAAGACCCCATGCATTAGCTTCTCCTTGTGTTTCCGCAAATGTGATGTGATCTCTGCGGCTTTTATATGCGCTTTTTGCTGAACGGGTTTCAACTCGATGACAGAGTTGTGGTCACCTCATTCAGTGACTAAACCGAGTTCATTAGCTGCTCGGGCAGCTGCCCTAAAGAGAAATGCTCCAATTCCTGCTCTCTCATGGTCACGGACCATGCAGAGAAGGGGATCCGAACTCCTGACGACTTTACACTAGTAAAATAAGCAAAATGGTAATAACTACAGTCGAAATTAAGTCTAATTCAAGTATAATTATGAAGGCAATGAGAGCCATATAACTATTAAGAAGCAAAGAGGAATTAATACAAGTAATACCCAAAACAAATCATTTAAACTGTACACCGCTTTACTGCCTACGGATGCTAAGAAACTAGCATCTAGGTTCGTTAAAGTTTCATAAAGAGGGATTCATTCCAACTACTTATCACAACTCTTCTGAGTTTATCAGTACCATCAAATTCAAAAGATATGGTTAATAATAATGAAGACCCGACTGAAAGCCAAGATTGAAAAGTAATTGAATACCTACTTTTAATGAACAATTTTGAGTTGTGAAAAAATATTTCGTTGCAAATAAGATTTTGAAGCAGTGTAGTAAGTTATTTTTCCATAATTATTTCCGACGAAAATCATAGTAACTCGTCTAAAAAATAACGTACTGAGTATACAAAGTACAATTGAGTACTTAAAATGTAGCACTAAAATGCACCTCATCTCCAGAAAATTAGAAAACATAGTTGAATTTATGTCACTTTCGTTAGGAATAACAAAATACAAGTTCGTTTTTCTCAGTTCCTTAAAAATTGAGATAATACAGTCTTCGTAGGAACCGTTGATATGTTTGTTCGTTTCAATACTAAATCAATCCACCTGGAATTGGATGGTGATCTGCCCAGTAAAACGTTTTTGGCAGCTTCACAACGCTTGATCGCTTGGTGAAGATATATTCCGCATCTTCAATGCGATAATACAACCAATTTTGTAGAATATCTGTTAAACTCTTATAAAAATTTATACAATTGTCGGTTCAAGTATTAAATATAAATTAACTTTGTCTTTTACACTAAGTAATTTGGACGAATTGTTTAAAAGTTATAACGATAAGATTAACGCAGTAAGCCAGTACGCGTCGCGTCTACTGTAAGACGATGGGGGACGATGCGAGAGAGTAAAGGGGCAGTGTAAGTAATGAAGCGCCATCGCCAAGAACGCGGCAGACGCGTGAGGGCAGACGTTGTTGACGTTTGTGTTAGTTTTGCGAATTTCTTTATAGGTAACATAATTCGATTCTCGAAGCCATTCATTACTTAGTGCAGTTGTCATATTTTTTCAGTTACTATATTTTTAAAGTGAAAATATAAATTACTAGCTGTTGCCCGTTCTTATATATTAACGTACAGCCGAAGCTACTGAACTTAATATCTTGGGATATGCAAGTAGGTTCTTTGTATAGCGTAAATAAGCATCAAGAAAGGGAATTAGGAATTTCCACCCCCAAGGGGGAAATAGGGGTTCAAAGATTGCATAGAATTTCGTCAGTATTGAAGTTGGATACCTGAAGTTTTGGGTTAATAAAAAAATCTTCTATTTGTTGAAAATAGTCTGTCACGAAACTTAATGTGACAAACCAAATTCAACGCGAGCGAAGCGAATAAATCTATCAAATTTTGAATAAATCGTTTTTCAGCCGATCCCACTATTGCTATTTCGGAAACGGTGAGATCTGCAAGGTTGGTTAAATTGGACAAAACTTTTCTATTTTGGGAAATTATAATGATCTTTTTTCAGATTGAGAATATTCGTGGTTGTTCTTGAAGTATTCGCCAAAACTAGAATTTTTGTTTAAAAAAATATTTCTCACACGCTTGATTTGCGGCACTTGCCTTCAGCTTGTGCCAACAAACTTCTGCGCTCGTGAGAGCGCAGCAAACCAATATCTACGACACAGATTGTGTTGAAATAACCAGATTCAAGGACGCGCGGGTTACGTGGAAAGATGAGACCTGCGATAGACTGTGACGTCCACTCCACCGACGCGACGGTGGCGCACACAATTTAATTTATTGGTTGATGATAAAAACAAAAATATGTGAAATTTCATATATTTATGGAAGCTCCTGAAATAGGTATGATATTTCAATTGAATAATTATGTTTATTTGAAATTCCAATATTAATTACAAAAAAATATGCATTGTATCAGA